ACGAGATTTAAGGATAGATATTATGCAATTAGAGGGAGAGAGAGAGACCTAATCAATATGCAGTGATTAGTAGGATCCACGGCATATCATGACGAGTGATGATAGAGAAAGGAGATGTTAGGATGGATTGACGATGATAAAATATTAGATCGAAAGAGCGGTGATGGTGAGAAGAGATATTGTGAAAGAAAAGATGATGACTATAAGAGATTTACTCAAAGAATCCAAATAAAGTGATGGTGATAAAATAATGCGGTTGATGCAACATTGGATGTAGAAGAGGGGAGAAAAATCAAAGAGATAAGAACAAAAGAAACAAAGAAAGTATTTTTTCTAAGACGATGACTTTTTTGATCATTATAAGAATGGCAAACTTATTAATGTAAAGATAATTATCGACTAACTTTTAATAAATTTCTTAAAAAAATTACGACTATTTTGTTCACAAAATGACACTCAAACACCATTAATTTCTTACCCTAAAATGAGTCTGACAAAATGTTTTATTTGACAAAAATAATTTAATTTTTCAAAAAATAAGTTTGAGAAAAAATTTACAAAGATAAAAATATTAACATAAAAAGAAAAACATATCAAGTATAAGTATGTTTATGTTATTTTTGATTGTAAAATAAAAAATAACAACTATCGCAACTTATTAAATAATGGTTGATGCCCATCAAATGAATTCTTAATCTCATACAAGTTTATAGATTCCACAAATAAAATAATTATTTATAAATGAGCACCTAAACACTGTTTTAGTTATTCCAATGTCAATTTCAATGCTTGCAATTAATATTTTCTTGAAATAGTGTAGATGATAATAGTGTTTTTAAATTATTGAAAATTAATAATTATAACCATCACATATTTTGTATAAATAGCATAAAATTTTTTAATGAAAAAAAAATATGCAAATTGAAATTTTTTATTTCCATTTATGTTTAGAGGAGTTTAGTAAAATTTTAATTTATATCTCAAATAGATACATTATTCTTATCAAACAAATCTACAAATACTTAAAATTAAATAATTTTTATTTGATTATCGTAAATGAGTAATAGTATGGATTAGATTTACTTGTCGACATATTAAACCATTTGAAATACTATTTCTATGAAATAATTTATTGTGAAGATTTAACAGCACGGTTAACTATGCGGTTAACCGTACGGTAAACTATGCGATTAATGTACGGTAAATTATGTGGTTAACCGTACATTTAACAAACGGTTTTGATACGGGTACGGCTAACAACCATTACAATTAGTAACTGTAATTGATATACTTTTACGATTAAAAGTTACGGTTTTAACCATTATTATAAGGTTACGGTTAAGATGGGTTAGCGACTTCACACTATGGTTGTTTGTGAGCCTAAACTGTTTTTTATTATATAAATTATGGAGGATTTTTCCCTTCCACTCCCCAAAGAAAAAAAAGAAAGAGAAGCTCTCTAAGAGCAACAAATTAGTATGACATTTTTATTATTAGACGTGCGAGTAAGATTTTTCAAGTGTATTTCTCAATTAATATATCAGGGATGTTAAGAAAAAATTGTATTAAAATATTGAATGAGATAGTAGGAATCGTCGTTTTAAACCAAGTTTTATCTATTACTGTTTTTCATTAATTTTCCCAAATGACATTGAAAATATATTTTAATTCCATCACATTGAATGTATTAGAAAATAGTACAAATTTAAGAAGAAACAATTCATAATTATATATAAAAAAGATAGCACATCAACACAATATCGCAACAACAGAACCACACAACCAGGCAACAACACAACCACACAAAAACACACAAAAAAACAAATAATATACTAGTGAGGTATAGATCATTTGTCATTTTCTGCAGTATCGTTTCTCTCGCTCCTTGCAGCAAGCTCATAACACAGCTTCTCATAGAGCCCTTCAAACCTCTCGAGCAACTGTTTCATCTCTTCTTGATCCTTCACCTCTTCCAGAGGCACTTTCCACCACGCATCTTCTTGCAACGGTTCCAAGGACGCAGTTGCCTCTGTTGCTTTTGCTTCCTCAGCACGTGCCCCATCCATCATATTATTATACAATTTGCAAAGGTCTTGAATCTTCGCTTTATTTGCACTATCAACCGGTCGTTGCAAAGAAGAAGAGGACGTTGAGGCTTCACCATTGAGAAATCGTTCCACGACGTCATGTAACGATGGACTGCCAAATGTATATGGCTTTCTAGAGCCAGTGTACCCGAGAAATGCAATGTTAACGTCGCCGAGAACAGAGAGCTCACAAAGCTTTGTGTAGATACCATTTTTTCTCTTCGACAATGTGACCAGTCTGTCATCTTCTCTCTCAATTTTCTTTATCTTTATCTTTTGCCTTCCTTTTGTTTTCTTCGAACTCATTTTTGGAAACAAAATATGAGTTTGTTAGATTAGAGAAAGACAGAGAATGAACAGAAATTTAAGAGTAATACTAGTTTATGTTTTATCTTCTAATTTTCATTTAAGAATATGTTTTTGTGAGTGCATGATGTGAGCATATATATATATATACAAAATAAAGATGGTGCTGATCAGATTGCATTAAAATATGAATGTTTATCTTAATGTTTGCAACTTTGAACTTGTTGTGGTCAAGCTATAACACAAAATACATAATCAACTTAACACTCATACCAAAAAAAAATTGTTTGAACTTTGAACACAATATGATAAACTTAACACTCATACCAAAAAAAAAAGAAAAAAACAATTTGAACATTAATGTAAAAGGACATAGATTCTATGTCATTTTTGAAAAATAAATTAGTCAAAGTATGAAATCAACTATAGTAGTTATAGGAAACTATCATTTTTATTCAATGCACAAACTATTGAATCTTAATTGTAGAACACTATTTTTGAAAATTGAAACTAGATAAAATAATTCTATTTGGTAACTGAAAAATTGTACTAGGACGTTTCTAATTTATAGAGAAACAATCATGGGAGTGTATTGTAATTTCGAGGAAAACATTGAATAAATAATAATAACGCGAGACTTGAAAAAATAAAAATGGTATTTCGGGATGAGTGTTGATGAAATATAATTATTCTGTGAGATTAAGTGAAAAATAAATTTTATTTAACAAAAATATGTCTTAGTGAAAAAGATCCGGGTTTTTTTTTTTGTAAAAGTAATGCGTTTTTAGAATTAAGAAATTTTTTTTTTGAAAAAATAACATGTAATCCTAATAAATAACGTGTAATATGAAAAAATATCGTGTTAAGAATAGAGACATATTGTTATCTCATGTATTTCGAAAAAATAGCATGTGACCAAAAAATGATGGACGTTAAAAAGAATGACATAGAAATTATATAAAGATCCAACTAAATTTAGATAATATAGAAGAGACTGGGATTCGACAAGATTTAAAGATAGATATTATGCAATTAGAGGGAGAGAGAGACCTAATCAATATGCAGTGATTAGTAGGATCCACAGCATATCATGGCGAGTGATGATAGAGAAAGGAGATGTTATGATGGATTGACGATGATAAAATATTAGATCGAAAGAGCGGTGATGGTGAGAAGAGATATTGTGAAAGAAAAGATGATGACTATAAGAGATTTACTCAAAGAACCCAAATAAAGTGATGGTGATAAAATAATGCGGTTGATGCAACATTGGATGTATAAGAGGGGAGAGAAATCAAAGAGATAAGAACAAAAGAAATAAAGGAAGTATTTTTTCTAAGACGATGACTCTTTTGATCATTATAAGAATGGCAAATTTATTAATGTAAAGATAATTATCGACTAACTTTTAATAAATTTCTTTAAGAAATTACGACTATTTTGTTCACAAAATGACACTCAAACACCATTAATTTTTTACCCTAAAATGAGTCTGACAAAATGTTTTATTTGACAAAAATAATTTAATTTTTCGAAAAATAAGTTTGATAAAAAAATTACAAAGATAAAAAAATTAACATAAAAAGAAAAACATATCAAGTAAAAGTATGTTTATGTTATTTTTGATTGTAAAATAAAAAATAACAACTATCGCAACTTATTAAATTATGGTTGATGCCCATCAAATAAATTCTTAATGTCATACAAGTTTATAGATTCCACAAATAAAACAATTATTATAGAGAAACAAGCAATTTTACAAGCATAAGTTTAACGCCTAGACAAGGTTACGCATGATCAGCTCAGTCCATAGGTCTGTTTTGTTGTCAGGTCTTGTTTCAGACATTCAAAACTAAAGATTTAATTTTTTTGCATAATCAAACAACTTTAGTGTCTTGATCTTCACTTCAAACATTGGTCCGTTATTGTGGGAAGCAGAGGAAGGTGGTTTGTTGGGTTTCTTGGAGTATCCTATACTAGATGACTCTCTTCTTACTCAATAGTTTCTATTTTGAAACCTTATCTTCATATGATCTTTAAGGTATTAAGAAGATAATTTTATAGAATCCAAATATGATTCTTGGATCTGGAAAATCTTAGACAAGCCTTTTGGTTCATTTATGTTTGCGTGTTGTAGGAAATATGATTTGCTTGTTATGCGATATCACTTTAAAGTCGATCTTGGTTTGCTTTGTCTGTAGTTAACATGTTTTGTTTTGTTTTAACATGTCTTTCGTCTTCACTGCTTGTTAAGCTTGAGTTTAAGTCTTCTAGATTTTGCTGTAAACTACGCTAAGCCAAATGAGTATCTTCACAATGTAAGTCATTATAGTTATACTGAGTTTCGAAAACCAACTCTTTCACATCATTAATGGGCTTCTTAATGAGAGGCCCAAATGCATCGTACAAGTATTCTCGGAGGTTATATGTAAATCGCCTATTGTTTGAAAACCCCTTATTTCTGAACTTTTGATTTCAGCACAATAGATTCTTTTACATACCTAATCTCCTTGACCTAGCTCGATCTTCATTGCTTTTGATTCCATAAACTCTTTTTCAACGAAATTTTCTAATCAACAGCTTCCATATTCACTTTGATTAAAAAGCATGGAGGGTACTCCTAGTTGTATCCAATGGTCGGAGCTTCCTATGGACATATTAAGATCTGTGTTCGAACTTTTGAGTTTTGTCGATTTCAACCGCGCTAAGCTCGTGAACCGGAATTGGTATCTGTGTTCGAAACAAACGTCGCCTCGAATAGATAAATCTCCATGGCTGATTTTGTTTCCACATGATGGTGGTTGTGCACTGTACAACCCTAATGAAGCTAGGGTTTACAAAACGAAGAGAGACTTATCAGATATCAGATTCTTGGCCAACTCAGGTAACTGGTTCTTGGTTCTTGATTCTAAACTCGATCTCTGTATCATAGATTTGTTTAGCGACAAAAAGATCCATCTTCCAGCTCTAGATATGTCGACCAAAAGTAGTCTTGGGAGACAAGGAACCAGATATTCCTCGGCTGGCACCGCGGGAGACCTAAGAGGTCTTTTGTGGGTAGACGAGAAGAAAGAAGAGTATGTTGTTGTGTGGTACTTCGGTTGGAATACTGAGTCTTTAGCCTTTTGCAAGAACGGAGAAGATCATTACCGTAAGGTTCCAGGTTCGATCGACTTAGAATACATATGTGATATAGTACTAATACGTGGTGACAGTATTTACATCTCAAGATATCATGATGCTCTCGTTACAAAACATGATTTGTCTGGACAAGAAGGTTCCAAAGTTATGTTCGGCCAGGATATAGAAACATTATTTCGAAGATTGCATGATTTAAGAACATATAGTTGTAACGTTGCTGTTACATTATCAGGAGAGGTTTTGTTGGTCGAGAGCATCGTTAACAAAAGTACAATGAGTAGGATCTTTTATCTCTACAAGAAGGGTTCTAAAGATTACGATGCTGTTAAGGTTGATTCTCTAGGTGATGAGGCCATGCTTCTTGATTTAGGTATCACTGTGCCTGCTGACCATACACTTGGTATCGAACCAAACTCGATCTATTTCACCCGCGATGGACGTGCTTGTAACCTTGGCCCGGACAGTTCATGCCTAGACATCTGTGTGTTCAATCTTGCAACAAAGACCATCAAACGCTTCTTCCCCGGTCTTGGTCTCGGTCCCTCCAATAACTTAAGCATCAAAGATGCTCGATGGTTTCTCCCATCTTGATTTTTTTTTCATTTTTTCTGGTTTTTGTGTCTAGCTCTTTGTTTAGTTGCTTATACTCGATCGTGTTTGAAATCATACAATGGACTTGAAAACTCTTAGTTAGCAGTCTTGAACATGGTGAATATTGATACATCACAAAGCCATTCATGATCTTGCCCAATATTCATGTTAAGTGTACACACACGCTGTGTGTAACTTTGTTCATTAATGTGATTTTGGAACCGATCAAACAACAAATACAGAAAATAATAATATAGTTAATCCTTCATTGACATTTAATTTAAAATGATACATATATAGTCCATCTGCAGAACCAGACTTATGTAACACCCCCGACTGTCACCTTTCCAGTGGGCTCCACGTTCACCACCAGTCTATGGGTCCATTTTTTTTAATGGGCCTTACGTCATTTCACTAGGCCCATGAGTCCACCTTTTTAATGGGTTTCACGTCCTGTCACTAGGCCCATAAGTCTATTAATATTCGACGGCCGGTGTGTTACATCCGAGGGGCTTAAATACTTGTTTACGGACCCTACAAATCACCAAATGATTTTCCCAGTGTTTTGACCTCACTCACACAGTTCCGACAATCACTTTCCAGAAGGTCACCCATCCTTTGACTACTCCAGCATAGACACGCTTAACTGTAGAGTTCTCTCAGGAACATTGACCGAAAAGATAAATGCACTTTGGTGATGTAGGTGGTCAAATCAATTCATTTAAATCTGTCCGCAAACTGGGATCTTACAACTTATTGCATTATAGTTTTTATATGAATGTTACAAACTTGCACAATGAAACATATATATATATATATATACTTGTCACTACCGACACCAACTTTTCTTTCACTTTCTCAGTTCACCTATACTTTCCGGTAACACTTGTAAGTGATCTATTTACCATCTTTTTCGTCATTGTTCTCGCTGCCGACACCAAAAGTTTGATTCATTTTATTTGGACACGTAAAAAACATCATTTCTACCACAATTTTCATATTATTATCCAATAAACTTGTAACGACCGTGATTAATTTTGAAGAGTATCGATCGATCCCAACACTAACAATTTATGGTTAAACAGTTTAATTTTAAATCGTCGATTAAGCTCAATTTTGAGTTATCGAGCAACCCTAGATTGACTTGAAGCTCGAGATGTGCAACTTGGTAAATATGAAAGAGACTTATATTATTTGGGGACCTAATATTAACTAGAAAAAAACCAGATGGAGTATAAAGGGTATAACCATTAGTTTTTAAAAAAAAAGCCAAGTTTTATATAATGATTTTCCAAAACCAAACTCTTTCACATCATTGGGCTTCTTATCGAGAGGCCCAAATGCTTTACAGATGAAGCATTACACATATTTTTTGAAAACCCTTTTGTTCTGCTCAAAAACTCGATTTCAGCAGCAACAGATTCTGCTACATCCCTAATCTCTCCCTTACCTCGACCTCCATTGCAACAGTTCCATAGGCTTTTGATTCCATAAACTCTTTTCAACGAAATTTTATAATCTAACAACATGGAGAACACTCCTAGTTCTGTCCACTGGTCGGAGCTTCCTATGGACATATTAAGATCTGTGTTCGAACGTCTAAGTTTTGTCGACTTCAACCACGCTAAGAACGTGAGCCCTAATTGGTATTTGTGTTCGAAACAAACGTCGCCTCGAATAGATAAATCTCCATGGCTGATGCTGTTTCCACATGAAGGTGGTTGTGCACTGTACAACCCTAATGAAGCTAGGGTTTACAAAACCAAGAGAGACTTATCAGATATTAGATTCTTGGCCAACTCAGGTAACTGGTTTTTGGTTCTTGATTCTAAACTCGATCTCAGTATCATAGATTTGTTTAGCGGGAAAAAGATCCATCTTCCACCTCTAGACTCGCTCAAAAGTGACCAAAGGAGACTTGGAGATAAAGAAATCATGAATGTGGAAGATCTAAGAGGTCTTTTGTGGGTAGACGAGAAGAAAGAAGAGTACCTTGTTGTGTGGTACTTGAGTTACAAGCATAAAGCAACTAAGTTTTTAGCCTTTTGCAAGAACGGCGAAGATCATTACCGTGAGGTTCCAGATTGGATCGAGCTACATCTACAAAACAGAGCTGATGTAGTACTACTACGTGGTGACAGTATTTACATCTCAATGACAAGTACTCTGGCTTACATTGCAAAACTTGATTTGTCTGGACAAGAAGGTTTCAAAGTTGTGGTCAAGATGAAACTATTTGTACCTGTTCTTCAAAGATGTCTTCATGATTTAACATATAGCAGTAACGTTGCTATTACAATATCAGGAGAGGTTTTATTTGTCGTGAGCATCTGTAACCAAAGAACAATGCGTAGGACCGTCCATCTCTACAAGAAGTATGATAATCTAAAACCCGTGAGGGTTGATTCTCTAGGTGACGAGGCCCTGCTTTTGGATTTGGGTATCACCGTGCCTGCTGACCATAACCTTGGTATTGAACCAAACTCCATTTACTTCACTCGTAACCGTGGCTGCGAACGTTCATGCCTGGACATCAGTGTGTTCAATCTAGCAACAAAGACTATCAAACGCTTCCCCGATCTTGGTCCGTCCAACAACTTAAACTTCGAAGATGCTCGATGGTTTCTCCCATCTTGATTTTTTTCATTCCTTCTGCATTTTGGTGTTCTTGATGAGAGATTTTTACCCCTATTCTAGCTCTTTGTTTGAAACCATACCATGGACCTGAAAACTCTTACTTATAGCAGTCTTCCACATGTTGAATGATATATCGGATTCCAAGACACCTGCTGGGACGATGGTTGGTTAAGACTTAAGATCATGAACTGTTCTCTACTGACAAAATGATATTATTAACGACAATGTTTCGCGAAAATTAAAGAAGAATAAAACAGAGGATTAAGAGGTATGAACATTGATATTATAGCCTAAGATCATAATTCATATTATGTTTGTATGATAGTCCGTCTACAGAGCCAGACGTATTGCATTCAAAAACCTATATGAATGATACAAACTTGCACAATGAAACATAGAAACATAACAAAACATGACACTCCAAACTACCATTCTTGTTCATTTCGAGATTTTCGCGGCTAATTCTCTAACAAGCTTAGCTGCAACCATTGCTGTCATACCGTCCACAGTATCACGTTGCGGGTTGAACTCCACAACATCAGCCCCGACAACATCTGCCTGAAGGTTGTGTAAGATGTTAAGGACGTCTCGGAAAGAAAGACCTCCTGGTTCGATGTGGGACACTCCGGGTGCAAATGCTGGATCGAGACAGTCAACGTCTATTGAGATGTATACTCCCTTCACTCCTTCCCCTAGTTTCTGTACAAACCCATTCAGTATATGACTTGACATGTACCAAATGCACAAAACCTCTAATAAGTAATGCAAAAACGCCAACCAAATTTCAAACTGAATGACCACCCCTACATCTATACTCTTCTTCTAGTCAAAACATAGGTAGAGATATAGATACCAGATTTTCCAACATAGGGCGATCTCTTGAGAAGGTTCGCATCTCATATTGTTCTACTCCAAACCTCTTGCCCTGTTCCCGTCCTTCCGCGTTTATCGATCTAATTCCAACCTACAATAAAGTTTTAGTCTTCCTTAGGAGATTATCTTTCTCAGAGATTGTGATGTATAAACAACAGAGAAATAGGACCAGCCTGTAAAAGCCGCCGGGCATAGCCACCTTCCATGATACGAGCAAATGAAGATGCATGAGAGTATTTGTTCCCTTCAAAACAGTCATAGATATCGGGATGTGCATCAAGATGAAGAATGTCCACAGGCCCTCCAAGCTTCTCAGAAACCGCTCTCACAACAGGATAAGATATGGAATGATCTCCACCTAAGACTAGCGGACGCAATGGTTCCTAACACAACAAACAAAGTATCAGATACTTAGACTGTTAGCTTCACTAACCTTAGACCACTATGTCAATCAAAAGACTAATACAACACTAAAATGTATTGATCTCAAACACTAAGATGTCAAAATCGAAAACAACTTCTCCACAGATTTGAAGATTCAAAACTTATATACTAAAATAGGTAAAGACCCTAAGGTGGCATATCAATAAAGCTAATGGTCAAATAGATTCACCTCTTCCATCACCAACTTCACAGATTCACTTATTACATTCATCAATCTATCATCATCAACTCCACAATCTCTAATCTCTTGTACAGGAACATCACCAACATCAGTTAGAACCCGTGGATCCTTTAACTCCTTCCCTGCAACATATTCCACAAAACAATATCAAAGACAAACACTTATATCACTGCACAAACCATGAATACCATAAGTTGGATGATCTAGCCACAACACAAACCTGACCATTTCACTCTTATAAACCATCAAATGCGAAAAGAAAAATCGAAACTTTAAAGTTCCTATTGAAAACCCATGATACCTTCTTCAGTTGCAGAGTTTGTACTACCACACCAAATAGCTTCTCTAATACGAGGAGGAGCAAAGGCAGGACCTTGAAGAAAAGAAGAGTTATGACCAAGTGGTACTCCAAGAAGTGATGTTGAAGCTTTAGCTCCACCTAAAAGACGAACTAACTCTCCCTACACAACATACACACACACAGAATCACAACAACAGACTTCGAAAAAGATTAAAGCTTTACAATAAAAGTGTATACTTTGAGATTAGCCCTTTCACGAATAAGAGTTAACGAAGCATCAAGAACAATAAAAAATGAGAAAGTTCAAAGCTTTACGATAAAAGTGTATACTTTGAGTTTAGCCCTTTCACGAATTAGAGTTAACGAAGCATCAAGAACAATAAAATTTGAAAAAGTTTAAAGCTTTATGATAAAAGTGTATACTTTGAGTTTAGCCCTCCACGAATAAGAGCTAACGAAGTATCAAGAACAATAAAAATTGAAAAAGTTTAAAGCTTTATGTTAAAAATGTATACTTTGAGTTTAGCCCTTTCATAAATGAGAGTTAACGAAGCATCAAGAACCATAAAAATTGAAAAAGTTTAAAGCTTTATGATAAAAGTGTATACTTTGAGTTTAGCCCTTTCACGAATGAGAGTTAACGAAGCATCAATGACACGATTTTGGCCTTCCTCGATTGAAGAAGCAGAGACGGAAGTGAAAGAAGCAGAATTGAGTCTGTGGAAGTTGTGAATCACTCTTTTGCCAAGAATCCTCGACATATCTGAAATTGGATCGGAGCTCAAAGATGATTCGTTTGAGAAATCTATCCCACGCTCGGGACTTTTCTAGTTGGTGATACTCTGGAAACGAATCAGTGACTAAATCTGGCTGTATCTATATGTAATAAGGTAAATATAAGTTTCTCTTATTTGTTAATTTGGACAAAAGAATCTAAACCCGCAATTTTACCATAAAAGAAAAACTTATCCACAAATTTACTACCAAAAACGAAAACTCGCCACTGTAGTGACTAGTGATATAGACATATTTTTGTAAGTAAAACCTAAGAGGAATCGGAAGCGGAATCGTTTGGAAGCGTAGAAGCGAGTTTTTTAGAAAAATTAGGAGACGGGTGCGTGTTGGAAGCGTATGCATATATATATATATATATAATAAAATACTAAACATAAAATCATACTACAAATAATGAAATCACAATCAGATATTACCAATGATAAAAATAATAATGAAAACTAAAATGTCATCTTAAATATTAAAGGTTAAAACTTAGAAGCAATGAATATTTTTTTAAAGCAAGTATAAATCTGTGTAAATATATGTTATATACAATTATGATCAAAGATTATACGATATAGTTTAATGTAGTGTAGTGGCTTGAGTGTATTTTAAAGTACCCCCAATCCCAAGTATGCGTTTTGAATGCCACCAGACACAAGTAAAAGATTTTATTTTAAACGAAAAAGGGTAAATTTGTAACTTCATCAATCAGTCATCTTCTTTAGGTTTTACTTATGTTTTGCTGAAGTTCATCTTAAATTTTGCTTATATATAACTTTATAAATATTAACGTTATAAATGAACATAAATTTGTTTTGACAATTAAACAAAGTTTGATTGATTGATTTGACACGTGTCGAGTTAATGTTGATAAGTAATTTTGAGGTCAAACTTCTTTATATTATAAAATAAACATACGCTATAAATGTATATCCCAAAAATGAGATAGAAGATTAACCTTACAAATATCACAAGTATTAATAGTAATTGTACATGACACTACAAAACAAGTATATATGTATATGCAATCGAGTTTATGGTAAACCGAAAAAAGATTTATGCAATCGTTAGGATCCTGTTGTGGAAGCCTAGAGCGATTAGTACAGATTTGGAAGGTATATACATTTATGTAATTTGTATTTATTTAATTTATTTTTATTGATTAACTTAGGGGGTGTTACTGGATTGAGGTTTTTAATTACCCTATGATATTAGTGGATTTAAAAGTTCAAAGGATTTCTACTGCATATACCCTATGATACTAGTGGATTTAAAAGTTCAGAGGATTTCTACCGCATATAACGTGGATTTAGGAAGTGGTTTTAGTGGATTTGTGATGATTTACTTAAAAAAAAACATGGATCGTTTTGTATTGTTTTGTATTGTTTTGGTTTTTTAAGTCAACATAACTTTATTAATGAATAAATTTATTATCATTATTTTCCATCGTCACCTTTCTCCTTCGATGGTGATGGAGATGACCTTTTCATATCCAGATTCAAACTATGCTCAATTCCAGTGTCCCAATTGCTCTATACAATTCTAATTCAAAATCTTAATGGGAAACTTGCTTGAAGCGACGCGTGAGTCTTCGAACATAGATTCCATAACATCGGTAACTTTGATGGGGTTATGGTGTGATTCTAAAACGATTATAACTTTCTGTGATGAAGAAAAAATGAGATTTAAATTTATAAAAAAATACAAGACAAAATGAATTTTTAATATATATTTACATGAAATACTCTGAAATACAGATGAAAATGATTGGATTTATTTTGCTCATGATCTCGCTTAAAAAATCCAATCAAATCCATTATAACAAAAACGTAGGAAATTCAAATCCATTTTGAATAACAAATGATTTTAATGTATTTCAAAATACATCAACAAATACTTGATTCAATAACGGCCTACTTTTAAAATACATCAAAATCCATTAAAATATGGTATCCAAGAAAATGAAAATTGCAAGATTAGTTTTTCTTAAATTGGTGGTTGGATATGGGCCACAATATCGAGTCGGTCGAGTATTGGCTTGGCATAATTTTCATAGTCTTATTTATTTAATCAAGTTGAGTAGAGTGAAGTTTTATACATAAACCTTTCGAGCCTGAGAACACTCACACTCTTCAGTCAGTACGATAAGGAATGCGGGAATCATTTCTACTATGGCTGGCTAGGGCCTCATGCCCTCAGATTTCCTGCGCTATCCGCAAAACATTTGTTTCTATTTTTTTTTAATGTTTGTTTACTTTTGTCTTCTAGTTTGGTGTTTTTTTTTTTTTTTGGAAAATTGGAAAAACCTACTTTTTTCAAAAGTTTGACTATCTATGTTTTTATTTAGAAATTATCAGTTTTGACTAAACTATTCTTATTAACATATAAAATAAGATTAGTAACATTATGAGAAGTGATTATCAGAACTGTGTGAGTGAGACCTAAATACAAGGAAAGATCATGTGATGATTTGTTGGGTCGATAAACAAGTCTTTAAATCCAAACATGGACGTTGTAAACAGACCGTCGGATATATATGAGTTTATTGGCCTAGTGAGAGGAGGACACCCATTAAGAAAGGTGGACCTATAGGCTAAGAGTGAACATGAGGCCCACTGGATGAGATGACGGTCGGAGCGTTACAATTAAAACGTTGATGAATAGTGTTGTATCCATATTTGTTTTATAAAAGGATAACAATTTAGTTAAATGTTATATAATTTATCATTTCTTCTATGTATATATAACCTTATTAAGTATCTTCTACCATTTCTCATTTTATAATTATATCATCTTTCATCATCCCCCACAAAATATTTTTTTTTCTTAATGAATGCTAAATTTAGGTAACCCAACAAAACCATATATCTTAAATTTTTAAACTAATTTTTTTTATTCTTGTCATTCCATAAATTGAAATTTTTGTGACGGTAAAAACTTAAATAGAATTTTGTTTTGAGAGTATGCAGTTTTGCATCAAAAAAATTGTTTGAATGTCGTAGTAAATAAATATATGTGAGAAAGAATATATTTATTAAAAGGAAAAAATAAATTGTTGGTATTTCAAATAAATTTAATTTATCTATCATAAATAAAATTTTCATATAATATTTGGTAAAAAAAAAGATATAATCGTTTTCTTTACTCTCTCTAAGCAATTTATCAAAGAATCTGGAACACCTTGGCTACTAATGAAGTAATAATAATTAAGAAGACAGACTTTCATATACATTTGCTTAGGTGAAAGTCAATGGAAATTTTGAATACATCTTCATCCATATTTTACATACACTACCCAAGATGATGAAGATTATTTGTGCACTAATCGCAATTTTATACCACATTCGTGGTGCACACTGGTGGACAAAAAAGTAGCTAATGACAGTAAACAAATGAGCGATTAAGAAAACATGGAGATTGGTTGACGTTTATCCGAAACTTTTAAAATACTTGCAAGTATTATATTGTGTCTTACATATTGTAAAATATTGTTTGGAAGCAAAAAATTACTTGATAGTATTGTAAGGGTCAAACTATGTCATAATTTTGTGTGTATGATTGATTTTAAGAGTTAGAACAACAAATGTTTTAGAAAAACTATATAAGTTTGTCCCAAATTTGCCTTAAACCACAAAAATTGTTTGAAAGCAATAAATTGCTTGGTTAGTGTTTTGGATCAAATTTATATCATAATCTCATATATATATTCTGACTTATAAACTTATTGAACAATCTTTGGAAAATAATGAAGATAACTGCTTCTTCTTTTTCTTGTGTATTTTATCACAAATCTTTATTAATTTTGTCAATCTTAATGGATATATTAGATTATTCGTTTTGTATTTTATCATAATTTTTTACAATGGAAGAGTAGTATGTCTATGTTATAAGTATAAATCTGCATTTTACATATTATCATACACATATCATATTTATCATTTGATGCATCATTTCAAATTTTTATCTTTTAACTATTTGTTTTGATATGTTGAGTTGTCTATGCATATATTTAAGGGTGAGTTAAATATTAGGACTCAGATAAATCATATATATAAAAGTAAGGTTTCACTCTCTCCTTATTGGTGGAAAAATATTTAAGGCTTTAATTTTTTTAAAGAAAATAAATAAATAAATGTTTATGACAATCATTCAATACAAAATTTAATTACACTATAAGTTATAATCAAATGGCAAAGAAAATGAAAGGATTTAATCATATATCATTCAACAAAATAAATAAATAAATAAATTTCTATGACAATCATTCAATACAAAATTTAATTACAATATAAGTTATAATAAAATGGCAAAGAAAATGAAAGGACTTAATCATATATCATACAACAAACTTTATAAGGCTTATTGGTGGAAAATTATTTAAAATCATATATATAAAAGTAAGGTTACACTCTCTTTATTGTTCCATTTTGTATTTATTTTTTAAAATATAATATTTATTTTTAACCAAAAAAACACATTTAATCATATACATTAATTCATACTTTAAATTCACACTTTAATACTAAAATGAAACTGAAAATTATATAATTTTCCAAAGACTATTGGTTTTCTTTATTGAATTCCAATTAAACACACTATAAATTATAATTATAACTCC